CTTGCGTACAAAATGAGTTGCTGTAGCTGTTAAAGCCATCACAGGGACAGTTGAAAAATTCTGCTTAAGACATCCTAATCTCCGATAATCTGGACGGAAATCATGGCCCCATTGGCTAAGCACAAGTAAGAACTAATTTAGCAAGAAATAACGATTGCAGTAATAGTAAGACAAACAGCAAAATTCTTCTCTGTCAACTAGTTCCAAAATTGGAATAAAAACAAAATGGAAAACAAAAATCACCTTTTTCTCCATGAAATTAGTCCATTGATTCACCCTAAGCTAGCTATTTTATACTGCTGAATAGTTTGACTTTCTAGTGAAATAATCAATTTCTGCTGCTTTTTTTTTTTTTTTCTTTTCTTTTTTCCTGTTCTTCCATAAAATACATAAATAAATAAAATTTAATGTTCATACTTGATTCAGGAAAATTGAGTTGAGCACTTGAGCTCAAAAGACGGTAAGGAGGAGTGAGGTTTCTTTCAAAAATCTTCATTAGTTGGCAGAGTATCAATGTATCATCTGCCTTAGTAAGGTGAATCAGGTTATGTCATTCATCACTCTAAAGATCTGAATTCTGTCACCAACAGGTTGTAAGTTAAAATCTAAAGGGGTATCGTCATGCGGAAAAAAGCCTAATATGTAGATCATAATCATGTTGAAAAATCTCAGATACTGATCCAAGTTTCCTAGAGTGAGCAAGAACTTAAGCTTAGCAAACCTAATGTTTAACAAATGTATTTTTCAGGTAAAAGGCATACCTTACACAATGGGCTTCATCAACAATAAACCCTGCCAGAAGCCCCTACAATTGAAGAAAAAACAATCTCATCTTATCCAGGAAATTCATGTTACAAGTACAGATATCTATTTGGACAGAAAATCGAGTTTTTATAACAGAACCAGCACAAACTCACCTTTTGATGCATACTCTTTATTGCATCAAGAAATGATGCATTTGCAGAGATTCTTTCCGGAGTTACATACAAGAGCTTACATGAGGGTTTGTCACTCCTATCAAGGATATAGGAAAAACATCAGCAGACATGACAAAATTAGTTAAATTTATCCTGAACATGCCTCAAAAGGCCCAACAACACTGTAGTACATTCTGGCTTAAAGCTTAAGCAGAAATATACCAGGCTTCATAATACTTTGACCTTACACAGCAAAGGACAAATGTTGAGCAAGCAAACTATGTAAGTAAATTTCCTAATTTAATAACAAAATTGTTACCTAAGCTCTTGAATGACAGCTGCAGCTTGTGCTGGGCTTTGCTGGGAGTTTAGAAAAGTTGCAGGGACCCCATACTTGAGATTCAGTGTGACGATTTGATCCTGAATAAGAGAAAGCAGTGGGGATATAACAATGGTCACGCCTGGGTGTAGAGTTGCAGGAAGCTGTAAGACCAAGCAATTTGTTAGATACTTAGGATTGGTGATAATACGTCATGCACTAATCAATCGTAGGACATGTTCACGACTCTTCAGTTGCGGAAGAGATAAGCAGAAAGTTTTGTGCCAGACACTATTCAGTATTCACAATTCCAGCTTTGTACAGTACAGCCTAAGTGAAAGTGACAATACTTTCTATTCAGTATATCATCACAATATTCAAGCCACAGATACGATAGTAGTAATTTATAGTAATACATAGAAAATCACCTGGTAGCACAGACTTTTTCCACCACCTGTTGGCATGAGAACAAAGCAGTCTTGCTTTTGGACAAATGCTTTACATGCCTGATGTTGCAAAGGGCGAAACAACTTATTGCCAAATATGACGACATTAGCTAATTCAAAATCATCCAAAGCCTGCAATTCTTCGTAACTAAGAGTTTCTTCATTTGTACCCAATACTTGACAGCTTTCGATTGTAGAAATGCCAGATGAACTTCTAGGCCTTTTTTGAGATAGAGATGAGCCTTTACCATGAGTGACACTGCTGCGGCACTCCTTTAAAGAATCAAAATTCATTAGAATAAGGTACAACATCAAACGTAAATTAAGAAACTTTGAGAAAGTGAAGGTAGACATCATAAGTGCATAGAAAGCAAAAAGAAACTAGCTTTTAGCTTCACTAGCAAGGAGAACTTGTGGAAAAAATGGCTGTGAAACCAGCTATATGAGCTAAAAATTGACTCCCAGACAAGTGAACAACAGAAAGCTCTCATGTGGAATATGGCAGCTTGCAAACTAGCATTTACCATTTCACAGAAAAGAAATATTAAAAAAAAAAAAAGAGGGGGCATGCCCTATTGAAAGGGATGTTGTAAACTGCATGAGAGAATGCCCAAATAGTTATAGTCATTCCAAATCATAAAAGATCTTACCCCAGATCTTGGAGAGGTCCAATTGCTGCTGTTATGATGAGGATTAGGATGTGCTGAGGACTTAGAACTTCTATTTGCAGAAGTTTTAAACGTCAAATCCTCATTTTCACTGGAAGAATCTACCACCAGGATATCCTGAGGTGTCTGAGTTTGTTCTCTCACATGAACACTACTTCCGGGATCCTCATCATCTTCACAATCAACTTCAAGAATAGGAGTTGCCTTTCCCAACATGCTGCTTAGAGCACCACAGGTTTCAGTTTCCATAGCTTGTACATCATCCCATTCTTCACTGTCTTGCATAGACTCGGCCAGCATTGCAAGAAAATCATCACCGCAATGTTCCACAGTAATAAAATCTTGTCCATCTTCACCTTCAATAATTCATGAGAATGTCTATCAGATAAGCAATACTCATTACTCCAAAGGCCATGATCCTCTTCTCAAAGAGACTCGTTGTAAGAGACAATTTCCTTCTCTTCAAACTGGGGTGGGGGCCAGCTAACTCGACTCAACTCCAATTAGTACAGCACAGGAATACATAATAACACCACAACTAGAATCAATCAATCAACCAAAGCCTTAATCCCTTAAGTGGGAAACTTAAACAATACTAAGATTTCGAACAAACAAAATAAGGGATTATCCCCAAAGCAAAAAGAAATAGACAATCATGGTTCCAATGTATCAACTATAATTAAGAAATTAAAATCTTTAATATCAATATACCAACATTCCCACACGAATTGTTCCACACAACCATATTACAAATTGAGGAGTTACTCCTCCCATTGCCAATTGATTTTAGGATTTAACCTCGCTTGGGTTCATAAACAGTCCAAACTCGCACAAATTATAATTAAATTGACATTTCAGGCGTGGAAAGAGAATAAAATTCACGAGAAAATACTGTGTCACTGTATAAGAATAAATACTCCAGCAACAAAAATTTTCAATCAATTCTCCAATCACACAGACAATTTATTCAACAGAAATCTACAACAATGAATCAAAGAATAAAATCAAAGTAAAAAAATGAAACTGAAAGTAATTAGGGTTTCAAAAAGAAGAGAGAGAATACCATAAAGTTGAATGAGACGGTCCAAGCATTTGTGAGCAGACTGCTCGTCGAAGCCAAAATCCATGGCTAAACTCACCAATCGAACTTTCTTGGTCTCTGGATCGGTGCCCTCCATTTTTATGCAATCTTCAAACTTTGCTGCTCTCTCTCACGACTCACTGTATATAATCTTACTTACTCCCAATTGCCTACATCTTAAATTTCTCCCGCCAAATTGAGTATTTTTTTTAAAAAATAAAAATAAAAATAAATTATTACTACCTCCATTAAATATTAGTTGCAACTTTAGAATATTTTATATCTCACAAATAATACCTCAAAGTTACAACTAATATTTAATAGAGGTAGTATTAACAATTTCACTTCGAATGCCAATTTTTCTTTTTTTATGCTCAATAATTTTAATTATTGATAATTATTTGATATAATATTGGTGAAAGCATTGCATTGGCATATGCATTTATTTGTTTTGTTAAAGGGTGGAAATTTTCTTTTTAAACGAGGAAACTCATTTTCTTTTTGTAACAAAGGTATGCTACATTTTCTTATTTAGCCTTTTTTCCCATATGTTTTTCTATAATCAAACAAACAAAGGAAAACATTTTTCACACAATCATGTTTTTCATTGAAAATTGCTTTTAAAAATAATTTTCCATGTAATATGTTCCATCAAAATATATGGAGCTTAAGATCGTTACTCCGATATTCCAATCCCAACAATAACAATCTTACAACTTTTGTTCCTTGGATTCGTTATCAATCTTATCATAATAAAAATCAATGTTTCTTATTCTTAGAATACACAAATGTTTTTTAATTGGACTTATTCTTAAAATACAAATATGTTAGATACTTTTAATCGTACTTACAAGTTCAAATTTTTTTATTCTTTTTGAAATAAATTCTGAGTATAGTTTAAATTAGTTGAAAAGAAACACACTCCTTCCTAATGTTTAATAGATGTGGTAGGAAATTCGCAATATTACAAGGGTTTGAGTCCTATGACCTTAAATACACAACAGAGTAAATCTTTGTCTTGTTTTAAGAATCTACGAAGAAGAATTACTTATTACTCCTTCTATTACTGGTTAGTTAAATATCATCTTGTTGAATAAAATAAACTAGTACAACGAATGAAGGAAGCAGTGATTCTAAATTTCTAATAAGCATTATTTACAAGTTTAGATGAGTAATCGGTTAATGGATGGTTTGGCGATCAAGCCTCTCTATGACAAACAATTGCAAGTCGTTGAACAAAGGAATGTAGTACCTCGTACTTAGTAATCTTGGTACAGAACATTTACAAATATAAATATGCAAGCTCGCTTTGTCTCTGTTTCATAAATCCATATGAAAAACATAATAAACTGTCTAAAATGAGTGGGCATAATAATTATCAGTTGTTAATAACTGCATGTATATACTTCACTATGCAGCAGCTGCATATAACTTCAACCATATACCTGAATACACCTAGCTTTAGGTGTAGGCGACTTAAGATATAAGATACTAATATTTCTATTAGAGCGACTTAGGCAACTCCGTAACATATAATGACTATAAACAGAGGCAAAAACACGTAATTGTTCAGCTCTTGAAATAGTTTTGAAGTAGAGCCCTGTCTGAATCACATACAGTATGATCAGTGAGTAAGCTAAAAAATAAGGAAGCGGTGTAAGCATCAGCAACAAACTTTTTGCTTCTCATAGCGGTGACAAGTTCCAAAGCCTTGCTGATATCCTTGCCTTTCAAAAACCCCCTGATAATTATATTGTATGTACATTCATCTGGAGGACATCCATTCTCCTCCATCCTCCCTACCAATTCAATGGCGTCGTTCAGAAAACCAGTTTCACAAAGTCCTTTGACAACTATATTATAAGTATAGATAGTTGGCAGTAAGCGCTTCTCTGTAAGAGATGAGAAAGTATCCAAAGCTTCTCGAAGTTTCCCTGCTTCACACAAGCCTTCAATTAGGATATTGTAAGTGATAATATTAGGAACCATTCACAGATTAATCCACATTTGCTTCATAAAATTGCAGTAAATAAGATAATAAATGCAACTCCTTTAAAGATAGAAAGCAAACACAGCAATTACAAAATTCACAGGTTAATCCACATTTGCTTCAGACAAGCATGTTTAAATTGGCAATTCCAAAACACAGGCATTAGGGTTTTTGCCTACAGCCAATCAAACACATTATATGACTTACCAATTCACAATGTTCAATCACGATGTCTGTTTCCACATCTCTGTCACAGCTGATCATATATGCTTTAGTCATTGCTCCTTCCACTTTTCCTAATTTACATTCACTCAGTTTTCAAAAAACTTCTTCAGCAATACCTTGTCTGCATCACTAATATTTGGATCACTGAGTAAGCTCACAAATGATGATATAGTGTGATTATCAGCAACAAACCCTTTGCTTCTCATTAACCTGACAAGCTCTAAAGCTCTCCCAACATCCTTTCCGTCTATAAATCCTCTAATAATTGTATTGAAGGTGCATTCATTTGGAAAGCATTTATTGTCCTCCATATTCTTCAATAATTCATCGGCTTTTACTAGCAACCCTTCTTTACAAAACCCTTTTATCATTATGGTGTAAGCATGCACATCGTGCAGCCCTTTAGCTGTGAGTAAGGAGAAGATGTCCATCGCTTCTCTAAGGCGATTAGCTTCACAGAAACCATCCATTAGGATACTGTATGTAATGATATTAGGGACCACTCCATTTGCCTCCATTTCTTTCATCGTTGCAATTGCCTCATCTATTTGTTCATTCTTACACATCCAATCAAGTAATGAGTTCCAAGTGATTACATCTGGCTTTAGTCCATGAGCTTCCATTTCCTTGAAAAACTGGTGTGCAAGCTTTAGCTGATTGACTTTGCACAAGGCATCTATAAGAGTGCTGTACATGATAAAATCAGGTGTTAATCCCTTAAAATTCAACTCCTCGAGGAGACCAAGAGCTCTGTCAATCCTTTTAGACTTGCAATAGCCATTGATTAAGCCGCTGTAAGTAACTACATTAGGTTTGCAACCATTTTCAACCATCAAATCCATAAGCTTTTCTGCCTCATCCATCTCACCACGTAAACATTATCCATCTAACAGAGCACTGTAAGTGATGATATTGGGAACAAATTCTCTCTCAGTCATGTGAAAAAAAATGTCCCGTGCTTCACCAACCTTGCCATCTTTACAATACATATCAATCAACATGCTGTAGGTCTGAATGTCAGGAGTTATGTTGTTCCTTAACATCTCAGTCAGCATTTGTTGAGCCTCTTTCTGTTGTCCCAAAGTGCACATACCTCGAATTAAGGTAGTATAGGTGACAACATCAGGGGAAATTCCCTTGATTTTCATCTCCTTGAAAAGGAGGAGAGCCTGAGGTAATAACTGGTCTTTACAGAGACTATCAATGATGGTGTTATAAATGACATGATTAGGCATAAAATGGCCATAAGACTCCATATTTCTAAGGAGTTTGAGAGCACCGGCATTATCACCGGACCTACAGAGACCTTTGAACATAGAACCATAAGTGACTAATGTGGGTTGGAGGCCAAGCTTGAGAATTTTATCCAACAAATGAACAGCTTTGTCCAACTGATGAGTACGAACGAAGCCGTTTATGAGAGTATTAAAAGTAACAATATCAGGCTGAAAACCAAGCTTAATAATGATGGCGAGAACAGAGAACCCCAAATCAACAAAGTTCAAATGATAGTAGCAATTAGCAAGGATGGTAAGGGAGTAATCATTTGGACGAAGACCTTAGAAATGGAGGTGCCTGTAAAGAGAAATGACAGTGGAGAAAGGGGGGTGGGGTTTAATCTTGGACATGCAGAAATCAATGATAGATGGAAGAGGTCGCATCGATTTCATATGGTGGAAATGGGAAAGGGGGATTTCAGCATTAGTAAACCCTAATTTGGATTGTTGTCTAACAAATTTAAGGAACAATTTGGGGTCATCATCAACATGAGCATTAACATGAAAATCAAAATGTTTGGGACGATAAGAGTAAAATCGGGAAGGAAATAGCAATGAAAGAGGAGAAATAAGAAAAGAAAAAGGTGAAAAATTGAAAGACGAAGTGCAGGAAGAAAGAGGGAGAAAAGGAGGAAGATGAAGAAGATTACCTAAAAATGGCGAAGAAGAAGAAGATGCAGAACCGAGCAAAAGTAGAGCTTTGCTCCTCATCATCGCCTCACTCGCAGCACAATTGCAATGATTTATCAAGTCTTATTCATCTTTTCAATTGAATAATTAGATTAATTTACTCAATTCAAGTTTTCAACCAACAAGTTAATTATATTCAGCAATACATTGAATTTTGGAAAATTAAAATTGGGGTTTAATACCTTAATTCAGATGAATTTGCAGGTCATAGATTGTACAGTGGCCCGACCATCAATTGTAGGGTGACTGGAATTTTGACAGGAGAAGCACGACAGTGATGAGGTCAACTACTGCATCGCCTAGCAGGTTGGGACTTTTCTTTCAATTTCTTTTTGTTGGAGTACCTTTTTTTACAAAAGCAGTAAAAGGAGAAATTTAAGTGACCGCTACTCAAGATAGTGGTTTAATGCTTAGTTTTTTTTTTAAAAAAAAAACAAAATTGCATGGTTGGGAATTGTCCGCTTAAAATAATAATAATAATAATAATAATAATAATAATAATAATAATAATAAAGACTAGTAGAGAAATGGAGAAGCTTACTTGAGGATCTGCCATGAAAATGAAGAGGACGAAACTTGATTAAAGTAGCGCCATGAAAACAAGGACGAAGAATAGCTTCTCCAACATTAACAGATATAGACCTGATCATGTACATGTATACTCTGTAATTTTGGAAACAATTATGAAGAAGAAAAGCTTCCTTAGTCTTTATGAAAGTCAAGTGTAGAGTGGAGTGTTGGAATTATTCCCAATCTCATGCCTCATTCTAATCTCACGTACATACGTTACCAAACACCTCAAAAGTATTTTGGCAAACAACTAAACTTTAGGTTAAAATAGGCTAATCAGGCTTAATCATGTCTAATAAATTTAGTTTACATTAGAGGTGATCATTGGGCGGGCCGGGCTGAGATGAAACTAAAAAATTATGCCCACTTCTCGGGGCGGGTCAAGCTTCGGACCGGATTTTTTGTGCCCAAACCCGTCCAAAATAGTCGGGCCGTGCGGGCTTTTCGGTTCGGGCCTAAAAAATCAACTAAATATGCATAAAAACGCATTATCAAAACTGTCCAAAAAAAAAAATCGGGTCGGGTCGGGCCCAGCCCGATTTTGGACCAAAAATTCTGCCCAAAACCCGCCCCAAATCGGGCCGGGCTAACTTTGATTACCTCTAGTTTACATTAGTTCAAGTGAAAGCTCTAATTTCCACCCCCCCTTTTTTTTGGAAGATATTTTCCCTTTTTTTATGAGTGCATGAATAACAAATGTTATTGGGTTTATCTTTAAACAAAGGGGTACTATTGTCTTTTCAATACTACCGTTCAACATTCTCACTCCTCTTCTACCTCAAGTACTCAACCATGGCATCAACTCACGTCGACCACTTCTTCACCACCACAGCCACCATCTCTCCGACCGAACACATCACAGCAGCCACCACCACCATCACTTCTTCGCCGATATTCGAAAATTAAGCCCAATTGAGGGAGCTTCAATGGAGGACATGGTCACCCCTTCCCTTTGGGGTTGACCATGCCCTTAATTTCACCCTTCATTCCTAGGGTTTTCGTTTTTTTCAAATGTGGGTGGATATCGGGGGAGGTGGGTGGAGATCAGGGAAGGTGGAGGTGGGAAAGCTTGAGTTTTGTTCCGCTGCGACGTTGTGGGCTTGAGAAAGGACGAAGAAGAGGAGGTCGACGGGGAAAAGAAGATCGGAGGTCGAAGGGGGAAATAAGATTGGAAGTTGACGGGGAGGAAGAAGATCGACTTAAGTGATGATGGTGATGGTTGTGGTGGCTGTGATGATGGGAAGGAAGAAGGAGGAAGAAAAATTATTTACAATTTTGTCAGTTGAGTAACAGATATTGTTACTCAGAATGAGTAATTAGGATTAGCTCATCATAAATTCAAATATATTACAAGATTATCAACATAAAGGACTTGTCTTATAGAAATCTTTTCACTCTCTACTTTTATATTGTCATTCAGCCCTCTCATTAGATCACATTATATCATATTAACAATATTATAATACTCTTTCAGTTCACATATAACAATAAGCTATTTATGAAGCCACACCTATTATTTAACAATTACCTTTTTTTTTTTTTTGGAATTTAACTGTTATCTTATCTATCTTACTTTACTTTAATTTTCTCATAAAAAAAAATGAAAAGATAAGGTGGCATATCAAAAAGCACAATGAACTGTATCATATTAGGACATGATCCGAGACTTATCGTTGTGTGTCCAATGAGTGTCCGACAGTTGGATGAAGAAGTATCCATGTATCCTAGGCTACAACCTCTCCAATAGATAGCAACATGCTTTTTGTAATTTTGCATGTAGGCCCCACATATTATTTTAATTAACATCCTACTTCCTCGTTTTTTTGTAATTGACACGTTTCTTTAGACACATTTGCCAATGCACAAATTCAAAAATTAATATATTTAATTACCTATATTAAAAAATCTTGAATAGTTAATATTTTGAAAATATATATCGTGATGAATCTAACAAGATCCCACATGCCTAAATATTTCATTACGTATAAAGCACAAAATGTGGTTAAAAGAAAGTGTGTGAATAGTGCTAAAGTCAAAACGTGTCAGCTAAAAAAACGAAGGTAATATTCAAATGTTTTTGTAACTAAAGATGATGGAAAATACTCCCTCCATATACTTTTAAGTGTTACTTCTTCTTCTTCTTTTTTTTTTTAATTTTTTTTTTGGCAAAAAGATAAGGAGTACATTAATATTATGTCTCTTTCATTTCATGATCCCCATTCCCCACCCAAAACCAC